GTGTGTGGATGGATGGATGGTCATTGGGTTGGTGGGTGAATGGGTGGATGGATGGACAGACAGATGGACAGATATACAGACAGGTGGATGGGCAAATGGATGAGTGAATGGTGGGATAGATGTATGGGTGGATGGAAAGGTAAGGGATGGATGGGTGAATGGAGGAGGAAATGAAAGCTCTCAGGGTCTGGGGGTGACCTTCTGTAGCAGGTCCACAGAGCTCCCACCTCACGAGAACTCACCATGTGCAGGTATGGGCCAAGTGCTCAACAGCCCCACCTCACTCTACCCCACCCCGCCCCCAACCTGGAAGGCAGGGCTCACTTTCCTCCATCCCAGAGATTGGCAGAGCGTGAAAGCCCAGCCAGAGAACGGCAGAGCCGCAGTGCGGTCCCAGGGCCCTCCCGGCCCCGAGCCTCTGCTGTCCCCCACTTCACAAAGGTGTGGCCACTCTTGGCAAGGGGGAGACTGTTGGTTTTTGGAGAGAACTCAATCACGAGTAACAGGAAGATTAGAGATTCCTGGGCATCGTGGCCCCAGGGGAGGAACCTCAGTGTCCCCGTCCTCCCTGCTGAGGTGCCCAAGTGCAGAACGCTTCACCTCCCCCCACGCCCTTCAGCGAATTCATCTCATGCCTTTGCGGTACGGGTGGATTGTTTCGTCACAGTCTGGGCATCCCTCAACCTCCTAAATAGTTTTTCATTTGCATATAAAGTTCTGTATGAAGTTCTCTGGGTTTCGATAAGTGTAGACTGTTGAGTACCCACCCTACAGTAGTGCACAGAATAGTCCCCCTAAAATACGCACCGTGCTTCACTAGTCACCTCTCCCCCCAAATCCCTGGTGACCACGGGTCCTTTTGTACCGTCGCTATAGTTTTGGCTCTAATGTATTTTTTGATTGTTTTTAAGTCTCTAAGAGCCAAACAATTCTAGACTATCATGCAGCCACTACTATTATGATTATGATGTTATTGCAACAAGGAAAACACTTACGATTTACTAGTCTGGAAAATGCATAGACACAGTGTTGTCGAAAAGCCCGATTTGAAATATTTTAAAACGGCTTTGCTGGGATGTGGCTGACGTGCGACGAACCACGCGTTTCAGTGTATGATTCAGTCCGTGTTGATAAACACACACCCTCGAAACCATCGCCACAATCAGGACGGGGTGTGATCCACGCCCGACACCCACATGGGTCCCCGCACGTCCCTTTGGAACCTCCCCCTCCCGCCCGTCCCCACTCGAGAGGTGACCACAGGCCTCTTTTCTGTCGCTACGGCTTAGTGTGCATTTTCTAGGATTTTATATAAATTGGCCCACGCGGTACGTGCCATTTGGGGTGTTGTTTGGTTTCTCTCGCTCAGCGCAGCGATGCTCAGAGTCACGCACCAGCGGCTCACGCCTCGGTGTGTGTCGTAGGTGCTCACCGCTCACCCGCTAACGGACATCCAGGTTGTTTCCAGTTTGAGGCCGTTACGGAGGAAACTGCTGGGAGCGTGTGTGTACAAGTCTTTGCGTGGACATACGCTCTCCTTTCTCTCGGGCGAGCGTCGAGGAGCAGAGTGTCTAGATTGCGTGGCAGCTGCATGTTCCACTCTTTAAGGAACTGCTGAACCATTTTGCAAGGTGCCGAACCAATCGGCGGCGTTCCCGCCCGCAGTCTGCGACAGTCCCGGCCGTCCCGGAGCCTTGCTGACACTTGGTAGCGTCGGCCTTTTTAATATCATCCATTCCAACAAGTGTGGGGTGGTCTCTCACTGTGGTTTGAAATTGTATTTTTCTGATGACTAGTGATGTTAAGAATCTTTTTATGTGCTTATCTGCCACCGATATATCTTCTTTGGTGAAATGTCTAAAATCTTTTGCCCATGGTCCGTTGGATTATTTGAGCAGATTTTTTTATCGAGATCTAGAAGTTATTTACACGCTCCAGATCCCGGTCCTTCATCAGAGACGTCAGTGTTTCTCCCAGCCTGTGGGTCTTTTTAGTCTCTCAACAGTGTCTCTGCAAGAGAAGAAATTTTTTAGTTTCGACGAAGCCCAATTTATCAATCTCCTCTTTTACGGATCGTGCCTTTGGAGCTATAGGTAAGAACTCTTTGCCTAACCCAAGGTCACACAGATATTTTCTCCTACATTTTCTTTTAGAAGTTTTACCGTTTTCAGTATGTGACCCATTTTGAGCTAACTTTCATATGTGGTGTGAGGTATGGCAGGAAGTTTATTTCTTGCGTGTGGATGTCCAATTGCTCTGGCACCGTTTGCCGACAAGGCTGTCCCTGCCTCATAGCAATGCCTTCGCTCCCTTGTTGAAAACCCGAAGTTTATATGCCTGTGAGTTTATTTCTGGGCTCTGTATTCTGTTTCGTTGACCTACTCGTCTATCTTTATGCTATTAGAATACCACACAGTTCTAGTTACTGTAGCTTTATGACAATTCTTGGTATTAGCTTGTGTTATCTGTGAATAAAGACAGTTTCTCTCTTTCCTTTCTGATCTATATTTTTTAAATTTATTTTTATTCCTGATCGCAATGGCTACGATTTCCAGCTCAACGCTGATTAGAAGTGGTGAGAGCAGATATCCTGGTCTGGTTCCTGATTTCGGGGGAAATATTCAGTCTTTAGGTATGATGTCATCCGTAGGCTTTTCCTAAATGCCTTTGTCCTGAGGAGGAAGTGCTCTTCTATTTTTAGTTTGCTGAGAGTTTTTGTCAGGAATGGATATTGGATTTTGTTAAGTGCTTTCCCTGCATTTATCGAGATGATCACATGGTTTGTGTTCTCTCATCTGTTAAAACGGTGAGTTACGCGGATTTGCAATGTTAAGACAGCCCTGGATTCCTGGATAAACCCCATTCGGTCACAATTTTAATACATTGGTGGATTCAATTTACCAAAATTTTGTTTAGAATTTTTGTATCCGTGTTCGTAAGGGATGTTGGCCCACAGTTTTCTTTTCTTGTCTGTCTGTGCGTGGTTTGGGCATTAAGGGAATACTGGCCTCCAAGCAAGGGTTCAAAGTCTTCCTTCCTTTTTAAATCTTTGGAAGAGTTTGTGTAGAATTGGCATCGTTGCTCCCGTAAGTCTCTGGTAGAATCCCCTAGGGAGGCCACCTGGGCCTGGAGTTTCCTTTGTGGGAAGGTTTGGTTTGGTTTGGTTTTAATTATAACTCAATTCCTTTAATATAGAGGGCTGTCCAAGTTATTTCTTCTTGAGTGAGTTTTGGTAAGTTATACCTCCAAGGTGTTTGTCCATTTCAGTTAAGTTGCTAAATTAATGGGCAGAAAGTTGTTCATAATATTCCCTATGATCCTCCTAACATCTGCGGAATCCGCAGTGAGGCCTCCGCTCTTGTTCCTGTACCGGTGATTTCTCTTTCCCATCAGTCTGGCGAGGGGCTGATCCGTTGTACTAATCTTCTCCAAGAACCAGCGTTTGGTCTCATTAATTTTTCACTAGTGTTTTGTTCTGTCAGTTTATCAATGATTTTCTTTTCTCCGCTTTCTTTGGGTTTAATTTGCTATTCTTTTCCTTTCCTAATTTCTTAAGGCAAACAGAAGATCATTGATTCGAGACTTCTCTTCTTTTCTAACATAGGAGTTTAGTGCTGCAGGTTTTCCCTAAATACGTTAGCAGCATCCCACAGACGGTGAACCGCTCCTCCCCGCGGTCCGACCTCCTCACCACGCTCCTCTCCACGCGCTTTGGCCTCTGCCCCTCGGACTGAACTTGGGAGTCCACGCTGCAGCCACACTGTCCCGTCGGGACGGGAAACCACACCAGCGTTTCAACAGAGGGGAGTGGATACAGCGACTGGCTTCGCGGGTGCCGGAGGTGGGACGAGAAAAGCGGGCACCGAGACTCCAACGCTGTGGGCAGCAGTAAGTAGCTTCTGGCCCCAGGGCCGGGGCACGGGAAGGGGTTGGGCTACCAGGACCCAGGAGCGGAGAGAAGGGAGAGGCTCCTGAGGCGGTTTGGGGGCCAGAAGACACAGGGCTGGGGTAGGAAAGGAGCTGGCAGAGGAAGGGGAATCTCTTCTCCTCACCTCCCAGCAGTGCCTTCCAGGAAGCCACCAGCCAGGAAGTCTGGAAATATAGTTTGCAAAGTTCCAGCCACATGTATCAGTCAGCAATTGCTGCATAACAAAGCACCCCGAAATCAAGCAGCTTAAAATAATGAACATTAGATAAAGATGTGTGTGCATGCGTGTGTGTGCATGGGTTAGTACACGCACACGTGTTGTCCTCTGAGCAGGCCTAGCAGCAATGATGCCCCAGTAGTAGTAACCACACCTAATGCCCAGATCTTGGTTTCTAAATACCATTCTCCAATAAAAGGAACTAGAACTTACAGAAGTGGCTGAGTTTCTGGGAAAGGAAATTACAAGATAAACCTGGAGAATTCCGTGGTGCCATAAAACGGGGAAGTACTCGGAAGGCATGGAGCCATGTCCAAAGGACACAGGAGCTCCCAATGGCCAAAGCTGGAACAATTTGAGCGACAAAATAAATACAGATAATAATGGATTACAGCCCAAAGAATAAAACAAATATTTATGAATCCATAGTGATATAAATGATTGCATAAATAAATACTCATTTTTATGGAAGAATTCCAATTAATGTGAGAGCAATGAGGGAAACAGAAGCACCACCGTGGGAAGGTCACGGCACAGTTGCTATGGGCGGTGTCTACTGACAGATCCTGACTCAGCGGCTGCACCTGGAAGAGAAACGAGTTATTTGCACAAGATCAAAGCATCTTCCCCACAATAGTGATGAGCTGCAAAGTGGCAAATAGTAACTTTGCAGGTGAACCCTGAGCCCAGTGATCAAGGCTGACGTCCCCGGCAACGGGACGCAGCGAGGTCGCACACCCTCCGAGAAGATCCACTAGGAGGGTGGGGCCTCCGGGCTATTCCTGCCAAAATGCGTAACCCCAGTTTCAAGCAAGGAGGGGCAGATGAAGGGGGGTTACCGCTTGGCCGCCAGGTCTCAGCCCCAGGGGACCCTGAATCTGGGAGCCACGCCCAGGGTCGCCCCAAGAGGATGGGGCCACGGGCCTGCTTGTCCACGGACTCCCAGCCCTCCGCCAAGGGTGGCCCGGGGACAGGAAACCGCCAGCACTCCCGCTGCTGCCTGCGGCCTGAGCAGGCTCCCAGGCCGAGAGGAAGGGGTCTGGGCAGAGGTGCAGGCCCTGGCAGGGCTGGGAGGGCCGTGGGCAAACTGTCTTCTGTGGCCACGGGTGGCTCAGAGCAGGATGGAGTGGCTGGCTCTCGGGGCCACGGCCCAGCTCTGCACTTGTCAGGGCGACGGTGACCCAGTCCAGCGTGCTCGAAGATGGTGGCCGCCGCAGTCTAACTGTGTGCACAAAACGGAAGCACTCGTGGAACAAGCTGAGTTCCCACTGCGGCCACCAGCCCTGAGATGGTATTTACGTGTCTCTCTCCTACCAGCCTCCGAGACGCCCCACCTGGATCAGCACCACGTGTCTTGTCGTGGACGGCCCAGACCTCCATCGTAAGAGACCCTCGCCCTCTGCAAATGCCCTTGTAATCGACCCCCGAACACCCACAAACGCCCCACAAATGCCCCGCAAACGCCCCCACGAACGCCCCCGCGAACACCCCGCAAACACCCGGCAAACGCCCCTGGACTGTTGTCCTGTGAGTTGACCGAGATCCAATCCAGACATGCCCCGTCCACGTCCTGGGCAGGGACGTCGATCCCGCCAGGTCACCGAGTCTGTTACCCTGAGCCTTTTTCCGTCTGCTGGTCCAGCGACAGAGCAGATCGCGATGACCAGGGGGAGCCCAGCTCCCGGGGGAGGAGCACGGCCGTGTCCTGGAGAAAGCATTCCCAGGCGCAGCAGGCCACCGAGCCCACGTTGCCTGAAGCGGGGGCACTGGAAACGCAAGTTCCCACACGCGGCACGTGCCGCCTGTCCTTTCCTCACGGGGGCCTCAGCGGCCCTGGCCCGTGACACCCCAAATGTCTCACAACACCCCCGAATCAATGTGGACTTGATCTCCCACATTTTGGCACAAACGTCCTCCCGAGATGACCGGTGGCACGAGGTCGGCGGCGCAGTGCGCCAGCCTGGCGCTCTGTAGGACGTGCCCGTCATCGAGGCCCCTCTGGGCCACTGTGACCGTGAATCCCTGGCCCCGGCCGCAAGCGCGGGTCACTGCCCTTCCCTGTGGACGCACGCGGCTTTCGATCCTGTTTTCTGCGGGATTTGAAGACACTGTGGACAGATTAAGAGCCACGTAACGAACCAGGGACCGCGACCGTCAGTTCTGACTGTGAGACTCTGCCCAGGCAGAGCTGCCGCATCCGGTCCCGCTCGGCCCCGGTTCCGATGGCTCACCGCGCCCACTGCCTGTCACCTGTCCAGCTGCTCCAGGGCCACTCCAGCAAACTGACTGGGGACATGGGGACGACCGCCCTTTATCCTCGGCCATCCTGGGGGCCGCAATGGCCTGTGGTCGCAGGCCGGGTGGAGAAGGGCAGTGCCAGGCGCTTCCTCTGCAGCGGATCTCTCTGCGGGCAGGAAACCAGAGTGAGGGCTCCGTCCCGCCCACGCCGCCATCCCACCGCGCACCGCACAGGCCCCGCAGGTGGAAAACTGCGCTCACGCCCGTGCGCGCCGCTCCGGCAGAGGCCGAGGCGATGGCTCGGCCCCTGGCAAACCCGGTCAGTCTCCTGCACCCTGCGCACGGTGACTCTGACAAAGCCGGTCACGGCACTGCTGCTGTGGAACCGCAGGGTCATCCGCATGTGAGCTCGGAGGGGTGACCCACGAATGTCCCCCCCAAGAGCACCTGCCCTCAGCTGCCGCCCTGATGCCGCGGGCGAGGCCTCCCCCACCGCTGGCTACGCCGCCTGCCGTCGTCACCCGCGCCCCTCGGTGTCCTCCTGCCTCAGCCCTGGTGTGGCCGTGCGCACTGTGTCCTCGGCCTCTGCGTCCACACGGGCAGCCGACGTCTCATCCAGCCCAGGTCTGTCTCCAGAGCAGCCCCAGCCCCCACCCAGCGCTGGGCTCCCCTCTGACCCCCCGGCGTGGCTGGGGCGCACCCGACCAGACTCGTCCTCCTCCTGCTGGGACTCCGGGTCCAACGTCAGTCCATCCTCAAGCCCTTAGGACAGAGACTTCCTGCACTCCCTCTGCCTCTCACACATCCTGTCCATTGGCAAGTCTTGTCACCACCACCCCGGCCTGGTGCAGAGCAGCTCATGGAGAACACTAGAATGAAAGGGGGGGGAGAGGGAGGGAGAGAGGGAGGGAGGGGGAGAAGGGAGGGGAGAGAGGGGGAGAGAGGGAAAGGGAGGGGGAGGGAGGGAGGGGGAGAACACATGCCTGCCTTTATGTGCCATGGGAGTTTAATGGTGGCCCTTCAAAAACATCTACCTGGAACCCGAGGCTGTCACCCTATTTAGGAAAAGGGTCTTTGCAGATGTCATTACGTAAGGGGTCTCCAGATGAGATCGTCTTTGTTCCTGCCACAGCCAGCGAGGCTGCTGCCGGCGTCAGCCGTCGCGGACAATCCTGCCCAGGCCAGGCCAGGACCCCAGTGGTCAGCAGCAGGGCTGGGGACCCCCGGCCCCTGACAGGGGACGGGACAGAGCTTCCTTGATGCCTGTGGGCTGCTCATGCTCAGAGAAGTTAAGTACTATTGAACGAAAGACTCGGGTCACAGAATTGTTCCCAAGAATGCTCGGGACGATGCCAGCAGCCAGAACTGGATGAGAGGTGGCGTCAAAGGGAAGGGAGTGTTTTTCCCACCTTCCAGTTCTGTTTTCCCCTTTCTTTCCTTTCTTTCTTTCTTTCTTTCCTTTCCTTCTTCCCTTCCTTCCAGCCAGATTCCCACTCTGTCACTGGGCTGGAGTACAGAGGCGTCGTCACAGCTCACTGCAGCCTCGAACTCCTGAGCTCAAGCGATCCTCCCGCCTCGGCCTCCCAAGTGCTGGGGTCAGGCGTGGCCGCCGCGCCCAGCCGTGTTGTCCAATTCCTGTCACAAGCACCTACACCTTTCCACGAAGACAATGGTCCTGGGCACCTCCCAGCTGCTGGCTTGTGAGTCAAAGGCTCCCCACGTCACCACGGTGTCACTCACGAAGTAAAGACGGAAAGGACCAGGCTGGCTCCGGGTCACCCGGAGGCCATAAATTCCTGCTCCCCACACCAGGCACCACTAATGACATCAAACGGCACAAGGAAGGAAGAGAGTCATAAAGAGGGCAAGTGCCCGCGTGTGGAGTCCCAAGCACTGACCACATCCGGTGCCAGCCCCGCTGGGGTGGGGTCTTCAGCTCCGGGGTCCTGGGGGCCTCAGACTCCGGCTGAGACCATAGCCGGACGGGAGCGTGGGACGGGGCCACTCGCCACGGCAGGTCTCCAGGCCACACTCCCACCTCGGCTCAGGGACCTGGGACAGGTGGGCGCCCTGGGCCCTGAGGGGGGCTCGGGCGGGTTCTGGGTGCCCTTCCAGGGACAGAAGAGCTCCGACGACCCAGGTCCCTCGGCAGCCCCTCAGGGCAGGCAGAGCTCGGACCCCTTGGCCTCTGACCTGCCAGGAGCCAGGGGATGCCGCTCCCAGAGGAAGATGAGGGTGACGGTGAGGCCCAGAGGCCCGGGGTGCGGTGTCGGAGGGGCCGCAAACGGTGACCACCTGCAAACCCACCTCAGGCTCAGGGGCCTGCAGGCTCAGCCCAGGGGGGCTCCCACGGATGGACCCCAACCCAGAAGGCCATGGTGTCACGGCCACCAGACTGTCCACCTCCAAGCACAAAGTCAGACGCAGGGGGTGTGAAAGGGGAGCCCTGTGCACTGCAGGTGGGACGGGACGGTCGGTGGGGCAACCCCTGGGGAAACAGTGGCGCTTCCTCAAAACCTACCCATAGCGTGAATGTGTGTCCCCAAAGACTCAGCCACAGTGATGGACAGATCACGTGTACACCCACGTCCAGGCAGCGCTGCTCCCGGCAGCCCAAAGGCGCAGAGGCCCCAACGTCAGGGACGCACGATGGATAAACAAAATGTCCGTCCACGCGGCGCAACATCACTCGGCCTTCAAAAGGAAGGAGCCTCTGACACAGGCTGCAACAAGGAGGGACCGCGGGGACACGGGAGGACGCAGCAGGATCCCACGCTCAGGTGAGCACCAGGGGCCGGGAGGGGACGGGGACTCAGCGTGGAACGGGACGAGCCTCAGTCTGGAAGACGAGGTGGTTCCGGGGCTGGGGCTGCACACGCCGCACGCACCGCCAATGGGCTGGACGCCGCCGAGCTCCGGAAAACGGGGAAGAGGGTGCATTTCGTTACGTGTATCTTATCACAATAAAATTTGCAGGAATCTGTAGAAAAGTCATTTTAAATAACAAAATAAACAGAGGCCAGGGCACCCACCCCCAGCTGGGACCGGAGGCGGCTCTGTGGGGGGCTCTGCGTGGCCAGCACCTTGCATGGGGGACCTCCCTGCGCCCACGTCGCCCCCGCAGAGGTGTCGGGGATCCGGGCACACACGTCCCGGCTGGCAGGAGGGGCAGCCCCAGGGCCACCGGCAGGGACATCGGTGGCTCTCAGGAGGCTCCGCGAAGACCCTCCACATCCCGGAGCCCGGGGGCCCCGAGGGCTGCGTCTCCTGCGGGATCTGCCCCCACTCGCCGCATCAACACTAAGACGGATTCTTAAAATGTGTCATTTCATTTAACATGACGACAGCAGACCCCTGACATATTGCCATGAATTACACTTTTATAAAAAATAACTGCAGTTTCCAAAGCCCAAAACTCAGATGTGCAGCTGGCAGAGGGAGGGGCGCTTCCGCGGCCTCGCTGGATCGTGCTGGACTCTGGACGGCGCTTTGGCCCCGGGGTGACGTCGTGACGTCTGCGCCGGTCACTGGGCGACGCCGCGTCGAAGGGGTCGCAGCTGCCCCCGAGCGGGGCGCATCCCAGCCGTGGGGAGCACACGCAGCCCCTGACGCGGCTCAGCAGGAAGGTCGTCGGGTCGGGAAGCTGCCTGGCGACCGTGGCGGCTCCCCTGGCCTTCCCTTGAGAGCGCGGGTTTATCACGGCAACGAAGGCCAGCACGAGCTTTCACCTCATTCATCCTGGAAAAAACTTCTGCCGAGTAGCGTAGTGGGGTCTGAACACCCACCTGACGTGGCGAGACGCTCATTCGAGCGCCATGGCGACAGCGGCCACGCAGCCCGGCTGGAGCGGGGCTCAGGGCTCCTCCCGCGACGTCAGCGGGAGCGTGCGGGGCCGCCGGGCGCTCACACTCAGGCCCGAGGTGAGGTTGCGGGAAGCTGGTGAGGCCCACTGATCCCCGCGGGACGTCGCGGGTGACCCGGGCCCTCCTCTCCCTGTGAGTGTTCGAGGCGGAAGGAGAGGGAGGGCCCAGCGGGCCCCGCGGGACCCCAGCGCACGGGGGCAGCGCGGACAGCAAGTCGCTTCTCCGTCTTGTTATGAAAATGCTTTAGCCGGGCGCGGCGGCTCACGCCTGTGATCCCAGCACTCTGGGAGGCCGAGGCGGGAGGATCGGTTGAGGCCAGGAGTTCCTCACCAGCCTGGGCAACAGAGAAAACCCTGCCTCAAAATTTAAAAAGAAGAAGAGAAGAAAATGGCTTAGCGCTCACAGCCTCGCCGGTCAGAGCCTCAGGAACCCCAGGGACCCACAGTCCACGCCAGGGAGCCGGGACGACGCACCGGGACAGCCACTAGCACCCCAGGGGAGCATCTGTGCCCGGTGGGCGCCTCGCCCAGCTGCAGCCAGGCCTGGGCCCAGCCCCGCGCGGAGCTGCAGTCACCAGAGACGGCCACCCCGCCCTGCCTGGCCATCCCAGGACGAGGCCGGGCCGAGGGAGAGCCTTGCGGGAGATGAGCCGCCCAGAGCCTGGTCCCAGCTCAGGTCTGGCTGTTGGGCAAGACGCTTCCCTATACCCTGCCTTTTCCGGGCCTCAGTTTCCCGGCCTGGTCACTGGCGGCCCCTCCAGGCTTGCGCCCAACTGCTGGGTGGGGGCGGGAGGGGAGTGGGCGGGCCGTGCCACCAGCTCCTTCAAGGAACAAACAAAGGTGCCAGTTGCTGGGAAGGGCCGACAGCTGGGGGCCAGGGTGGGCGGGTCGGCTGTCCACACCGCAGCCTCACCCCGCCCGGCTTTATGGCCAGGTCCTGTTGCGGGCGCAGGTCCAGCGCCACCACCCTTCCTCCTGCGGGCATCTTCCCGGAACTGGCGAGGCAGCGGGGACCCCGGGCCCCGGGAGCAAGGAGCCTGCTGGGAGTGGCATTTGCTCTCGTTTCACAGGGACGAGGACACGGTGTAGCTCAGGGCAGCGCCGCGGAGGGTGGAGGAGCGTGAAGTCCCCCCGCCCCGGCGTGGCCGCCCCGGAGTCCAGGGCTGCGTGGCCACCCTCGGGCCCAGGGCGGATGTGCCTGCGGAAGACGGACGTGGCCGGGGGCTGGGACCCGGCGCCTGCGTGTCTGTCCCTCGGGTCCTGGGGGTGCGGCGCAAACGGAGCCCACCCTCCCAAGGGTGCACTGGCGCCAGGGGAGCGGCAGGAGGGCGTGGGGTCGGGGGGCTGTGTCTGGGGGAGGCTAGCGAGAGGCCAGGGCTCAGCGCCTAGGGCTTGGGGTCGAGGGCTGGGTCCGAGGGTCGAGCGGGGTCTGGGCGGGAACTGGGGCAGGGGCAGGCGGGGGCGAGGCCAGCACTGCGTCTGTGCACGCGAGGGCACCGCGCCGGCCATCACACGGGACAAGACACAGCAGCCGG